AAGAAATGCACGAGTTTGAGTGGAGGGTTTCTAACTGTTCATAGATGATTCTAATCAGCGGTTTTCAACCTTGTGCCCGGGAGGTCCATGGCTTTATATCTAGCCAATCACCTCAGCAGCTAATTTCGCTCACTGCATTTGCATGGTAAAAGGCGCTAATCAGTAAAATGAGCAGATCTGGTCATGTGCTAGGCCTACTTATAGAACTTGTTTCAGAAACTTTCCACCGTGATAAAATATTAAAGTCAGTTCTTTATAATATAACGTTTTAAACGTGATAATATCAAATATTGATTGGATTGAATATTGATATTTGAATTAATGCAATGATAAGGTAAAACAAATGAGGGAGGTCAGCATCCTGAGCCAGAGTGAGAAAGATGGCGTCAGAAAGATTGTTACAAAAATGGATGAGATCAGCTTATTTTTTTTTGACAGGGTGATATACATTGACTTACAGAAATAACTATTAAATCAGCACATGACAACATTAAGTTAACTGTTTCTAGCTTAAGTGTTGAAAGTGGCTGAATATAACATTGACCATATTACATATTATTAGATAATATGTCCGTCTGTTCTCAGTGTCATAGAGGAAGTCATATAATAGTCATATGATGTTATATAGGATACCACACTACTGAAAACTGCAGTGAGAATACATTTGTTGGTAAGAGATTCACAATCTAACTACATTAACTGATCCTTTAACCTGATTGTGGAAACCAGTTCTACTTATGTGCGAGCAAACACTGTCTGTATTTCCCCCTCTGTGTCTCTCCATCTACTGCTCCCTCTCTTTTTTCGACCTTGTGCTGTCAGCTCTGCGTATGTTGTTTTTGATGAGCACACAGGAGTGCAGTGAGAAACGGTAAAAGCCACGTGCACTCTGCCCTGCCTTGACCCGACTGCCCCGTGTGCAGGCCAGGGGGATGCTGGGATAGCGCTCTGACCTGTCATCAATGTGCTGTGTGTGTGTGCCAGCCCATGATCACCATGTGGTCACAGGTCGATCAGCTTTGCTCAAGGCAACGGACTGGCTTATAAAACAGCAGCCTAACACACATATCCACACACACTCACACACACACACACTCACACACACACACATTCATTCAGACTACATTGTTTTTGTTGCACATTTACTGTACATACTGAATATTTATGCTGCATACAGAAATCCACTACCACATATATATGCATGCATGTATTCACACACACATTCCTGTGAAGCATACATGCACATATGCTCTACACATAACATAAAAGGAATGCTTTATCACGTGTCATATGCACAGCCGCAGATGCACATACACTTCTTGCAACCTGCTCCTCACACACCAGTGCACTAATCAAATCACTCCGGCAAATATGCTCTTTTCCCCCGCCAGCCAGATTCAGACAAACAAAAAAGCTGACAAACTTTCTCTGTTGTATTTCAAAGCTCATTAAAAAGTATTCACTGCTGTACGATTTAGCGCTGTAATCAGCTCTGAATAATAGAAATGGTCGTATTGACGCCTGCGGGCACCCGACGTACTGTCTCATTTCGGAACAACAACCGCTGGGCGTGTGAATGCAAAACACTATGACACACACACACGCCCACGCACACACTATCTCCCTCTCGCCTTGGTTTCTCTCTCTGGCTGCCAGTCTCTGAACACTCTCAGTGTATTCTGGCTTGGGGAGGCCGCCTACTACGCTCCTAGGGGGGCTAATTGTCCGGTAGCGCTCTTTCGCTTTACCTCCCACTCTCTCTGTCCTTTCCCCTCTCCTCAGCTACAGTCTTTGAGTGTTTCTTTCGGGAAGAGTTCAGGAGTTCACGCTGAGCCAAGGGCTGTGGATCTCAGTGAGGTGCCACAGGGCAGAAAGGTTACACCTAGCTGGACTCCTATAGAAACAGCCCACATGCCTCAATGGTGGGCAAGTGGGGAAAAAGAGAGGGTTACACTGACAGAGAGATGAATAGAATGACAACCGATTGAAGAGAAAGGGACTGTAGTGTAAATGTTAGAAAGACTTTGTGGGCTGAGGCTTTCATGGTAAAGTTTCTTATTTATCTTGTGTTAGAACTTTCCAAGTAGCCTTGCAGTATTTGGAAGTTATTTCATAGTCACATGTTCCATAAGCCATCCAAACACATATGGCCACAACCAATCTCTAAGGCTATCTCAATCTCTAACGCTAGATGGTCCATATAAACACTCGTTCTGCATGCATCAGCACTCAGCACTGCAATCTTACTGCTACACCACTACCTGCTTTCAGCATTTTAACTCCTTAGACCTCCCCAGCCGCTTCCTGTATTAGCATTTAGATTTAGCTGAATTTAGAATGTTTCTCTCAATATGTGTTCATGTTCCTCAGATGTCTCTGCTGTGGGATTTGTGAGCTAAGGGTTGGTCCGTGTCAAGCCAGCTCAGAGCGTCACATGAGCAGAGCCACATCTCCAAACTAAAATACCTATTATTGTTAAAGGAAATGGTAAAAACTTGACCTGAACTGCTTTCTGGTCATTATGATTCATATTTTTAATAGTGACATTGTACTCTTACTGTAGTTTTGTAGTAATCGTAGAACAGTCAAACTTATTTGGAAGAAAAGCAGGATATGTATTTTGGATTTATCTCAAAATAAATCAGGTTCTGGTAAATCACAGTAAAAAGACAAACATTATAGGACAATCTAATGTGTGATTTCTTGCATTAACTGTCAGAATTCTAGTTGGTTCAATTGCTGGGTAATATTAGCATCTGAGCCTCAAAAATTTTACTTTTTGTCCACTGGCCAAATGGCTAGTGAGTATTTTTACCATTATTTTTGACGAGTAAAGCAGGTCCGCTTGCATATTTTACCAGTATTTGGCTAATGCTAAGGCTGGTGCTAATGTTGTGCCCTGCACGCCTGTGTGTGAGGGATGCTGTGACTGTGTTTTACCTGTGAGAACTGTGAGTGATCAACTGCCTGGTGCACGGGGCATACAGAACAGTCAAAAACCTTGCCACAGTGTTTGTGAGCTGTGTGCACAGCTGCTGTGTTCACTGTTGATGGTTGACATGTAAAGTAACAGGAAGCGTGAGTTTGGTGACCATCCTGTGCAGTTTATAACTCAATGTACTACTGCTTTTTCTTTGCTGTTTAACTTTTCATTCATAAGCCCTTTCAAATCCCTGGAGGGCAAGCAAAAGCTGTAAAGGAAAATAATGTGAGACACTTTCCCCTGACTCATCAACGACTAACAAAGGAAGTTGCCCTTGAGCAAGACACTTAACCTAGCTAGATTCAATGTGCTCAGTGACTGAGAGAAGTATGTAGGAATAGCAATGAAAGAGTTGAGTTTCTGGTACTGGGCAGTTCCCAGTGGCCAAAATTAGCAGACTGTGGTTATACTGGGCAGCTCCCAGGAATGAATGTGCATTACTGTAAAAAATGCACAGCAGTACATTTCCGAAGATGCGTGTGCACACTCAGCAGAAGCAAATCCTTCCCTGGATGAATAAATGTATAAAGAAATCTGCCAACGACAGCTATCGGATCAGTTAGCGGAATCAACGGTCATCAGCTAAAAATGCACCTAGCAGACACTCAGTGCAGACAGATATTTGTTGACGAGAAGAGAAGAGAGGAGAGTGAAAGGTGAGAGGAGTGAAAAGAGAGTGGTGGGCCTCGGAGCTCTAAACCCAGGGTCTATTAGAGCCTGATTGGGCCCATTAGGAGGGAAAGGCGATATGTGAACCGCGAGTAGCGCTCCTCTGGCCTGGCTCTGCATTAACCACTGCCTGCTCTCTACTTTGTTGAACATATGGGCTGATCGATAGCAATGAGGAAGGAGGGAAGGAGGGCAGGAGGTGGCGAGGCGAGCAGGAGAGAAAAGAGGTCCAGGTTTACGGGAAGATAAACCAGGATCGATAGAGAGACAAGGACTGCTGCTGCGTGGAGAGAGAGGACGGAGGAATGCGAGATGCGGCAGGTTCACACTCGTTCACCTCATCAAACCAGACAGAGGGGAACCTATGTGTGCGTGCCAGGACGCTCGGGCAAACATCATCTCTTGCTTGTGTGTATACGTGTGTGTATGTCAGTACACTTACAATTGGCGGCAGAGGGCTCTTTCATGTTTACTGCAACAAAGATAATTTATTGTACCCTCTCAAAGGAAGGCCATAACTCTAATAAGCACTGATGTGATTAATCCTAAAAGCATTTCAGCATAACGTACATTACCACAGCACTAATTCCATCAGTAAAACAACGTGTCATGCTCATCAATCTGCTGCACTTTTTTATAGAAATGCTTCTGTTCTCATTCACTAAATAATTCCAGTCTCTTTCACTTTGCCATTTTGTTTCTGGAATAATGTTAGTTTACTGAGGATGCTTCACATTAAAAATCTACCAGGAAAGAGCAAGTTTATGCCTTTTTAATTAGAGATGTCCGATATTGGCTTTTCTGCCGATATCCGATATTCCGATATTGTCCAACTCTCAATTTCCGATACCGATATTACCCAATACCGATATATGCAGGCTTTTTACACCAAAACTGTTAGGTAACAACATAAAACACAGACATATCTCCTATTGGGGTGGATTAACCACATTATGCCTTAATTTTAT